TCCAGCGGAACCTCTACATTCAGAAAAATATATATTTTGCTGAGCGATTTTGCTTACTTAAAGAGGTATAGCTATTTTCTTTAAGGTATCTCAACTTGTGCAGAGGCGCTCATTCGCATACATTGTGCCACTATAGATCAATACATACATTACTGTGGCGCTAAAGGGAATACCATATACAAGGTATTCAAGGTAACGGTGCTCTCTGATTTTCCCAGTAACACATTATTTTCTGCGCATTGTCAGATTCCCCAGATTCTTTGCTTTTAGAAAAGTATATATTTTATAGGGCAGTTCTACTCACTTTCTGAGGAATAGCTGATTTTCTGAGGTTGTCTCAGTTGCTCAGCTTCGCTCATTTCAATACACTGTATATATATTGATCATAGATTAGTATGGCTGTTTGAGGGTCATCCTTCTCAGGTTTATGTGCTCAAATCAAGTACTGACATTCGATCTTTCGATTGAAGGTGAGGCCGAATGGGATGTAATAAACAATATGAAATATTTATATCAGTGCATTAATGACGAATTGCATAATTGCAGATTTTAATTAGATAGTGATAATGACGAATTGCATAATGTTGAAGCAGTTTCAACTCAGCCTTTCAAAGTGCTATTTTTACGTGGCAAAGGGCGCCTACCTGCAGTGAGAGAGAGAGATGTGCCTTGCTCATTTAGCGATACAGTAAGCTCAAGCTTTGGCTTGACCAAAGTTTGCATTAAGATAAAGTGTGTGAAGCGTGTGGCAAACGTCTTGAAATTTGTCGTTAATGTTCTCAAGTTATCGAAGAGCACACGATCCAATGACAAGTAGTATTGTGAATGGAGAAATACACACCTCACAATCAGTATTTTCATTTTTCAGTTATTACGAATCCTTCTTCCTGCTGATGAGGAACACCTGTGCGTTTACATGTATCAAACAGTCGATCCACGGTTTTCTGAAAGACGATAACATCGAGTGAAGGATGAAGTAGGTGAAAGATCTCAACAACTAGATACATAATTCTTCAAGAATCAATACCGACTTTTCAGTCATAGATTAGAGTCTATGAGATTTCTGATCAAAGTCGTGCGCCCACTTCGTTCATGACTCTCTGATG